CCCCTCGCCCCTGCCCTGTCTGCCCAAGTCAGTGCCCTCCAGTCTTGTACCTTTCAGATATGGGTTGTGACTTGTGACCCATTAGTGGGTGATATAATTAATTTGGTGACTTGTGAACAGCATTTTAAGAAAAATTGAATAGGAAATACAGAAAATGTGTTTCTTATTGTGATACATGTTCAAGAAAGTTTGAAAGCACTGCTCTGGCCTGTATGGGTCAAAGAAGCTTTAGTACTATTTTTCTCTTTAGTTGCCTTCAGCAGATTCTAGAGGGAGGGGTTTCGGCACTCCTGGCCTCGCACAGTGGGCCCATGGTGGGTTGCAGAAAATGGTCAGTTCTCTTTTAAAATGCTGCCAACGGCAGCACAGGTGGTGGGCACACCTGTTCTTTTAACTGTATCTGTTTCATAAGGCAAGTATACCTGGGACACTGAAACTCTCAGCACCAACACTCCACTCACACCCTGCGCTCAGAGACTTCACCAAACCATCGCATGGCTTCTAGCAGTCTAAGGCCACGTCCCTGGGATGGGCCAGCCCTCTTTTGAGTTGCTGTCTGGAAAAGCTTAAGGGTGTCAAAAGAATTTAGTTTGTTCCACCAACACCTGACAATAGGTTCCTGACCTCTCTTTTTTAGAACATTTACTAAAAAAGGAGGCTTACCATTGTGAATCCTTCCTCTGTCCCTTTGAGCTACTTTGTATGTGTCGCCTACAGCTCAGGAGTGTCTTTCTCAAGGACCCGAAAGCCATTCTCCTCAACGTAATTATCAGGAAGGAGAGAGCCTCTGACTCCCAGGCTCTGTTGGGGGAGAGGATCCTAGCTTCGAGAACTGCCAGCTAGCAGACACAGCTGGCCTCAACACATTGACTCTGCCCAATACTTTGTCATTTTTCACTTCCCTGACTCTAACTGAACCTGCTCACTGCACCTCCTGGCTCCCTTATTCTCCCTTTAAAAGACCCAGTCAGCATCTCTGCACAAATCAGAATAGAGCTCAGCTCTTTCCCCTACTGTCAGCAGTTACTGAACAGAATCTGTTTTCACTGCTTTAACTAATGTCCTGCTTATTTATTTTTATTTTTAAACCATGTATGTACACATGCATATGCACGCACACACACACACACACACGTCTTCTCAAGACAAACGCTGCTTCTCAGAGATAGCTGATTCTTGTCATCCTCATAATCTAGAGTATTTTTCCCTTCCTGTGTTTATCCCCTGTGTCATCTCTAAGTCATAGGTAAAGTTTTACTTAACTGTTCCAGCCTGGTCTTTGATGTTCCTTGGGAAATTAAATGAAGAGTTGTGTACAGGACTCTTTCCTTACAGGGAAGAGTTGGGGCTATGAGTTCCAACTTTCTGTGCCCACTGGGAGCTTCTCCTACTGTCAAATGTGGAGGGATCAGGATTCGTGTTGTGAAGGAGATTTCCAGTTGTCTTACACATCAAAGGCCACCCCTTTTCCCTCTACCCAGCTTTAACTTTCCTAAAGAATTTATAGCCAGGAATTGTCATATTCTGTATCCAGACAGATGAGTAGAGATGGTTGGGCATGAGTTTCAAGGCAGCGTTTCATGTGGGAATCAATAACAAAGCAGACATCTGAATGTGCAAAAAAAAAAAAAAAAAGGAAAATCCCCAGGCGCCAGTAAACAAACATGGAAGTGAAAAACAGAGTAACTGGTAAGCAGCCATGCTGATGGTGGGGAGCCTGGGGAGGGTGGGACCGGACCTGGATTCATCCCCAGCACCAAGAGTCTTCAGTTGTGGCCACATGCACCAACGGAATATGAGGCATGGGGCTACAGAGGGCGGGAGAGAACTGAGTCCTGTATGAAGGCTGCATGTCCAGGGAAAAGGAACTGGTCCAGGAGATGCTATACACCAGCAGGGGGCAGCAGGTGCAGGGGGAGGCGCTAAGAAAAGCTGGGTAGATGCCTGGCCCTGGCCAAACTGCCCAGACTTGAGATGATCACTTAGACCCAGTGGTGAAATTGGAAGGCTCAGCAGCAAAGTTAAGGTCAAAACTCCGTTTGACTCACAGCTGGTGCAGTGGCAGTCAGATCCAGGGCCCAAGATCACTCCAGAATACTCCCCACCAGTGAGGGAGCTGGGTCTGTGATTTCCAAGGGTTTCCACCAAGAACTCCTAAGGCAGAACATCTAGTTCTTGGGAGGCCCAGAGGGAAAGATCTGAAGCTATTCATGGGACCCCAGACTTCTTTAAAGGCTTCAGTTTTCCTTTTCAAATACGTAGGACTCTTGCATTATAACCAAAACTAACTAAATCGATAACAGGGTTTCCAGTGATTAGAGGGAAGTCTCATACCCCAAGTTACATGCGCCCCAATTTGAGAAGCAAAGACCAGGGAGAGCTTCAGAGACAACACAGGAACAATGGTGGAGGCGGGCTAAGAGGTCAGGCCTGTAATCAAAAACCTAGAAGGGGGTCTCCTGTATGAAGAGATGAGGCCAGGCAAGAGGAGAGTCACGCAGTTTGCATGTGGGTTAGTAAAAGCTTGTTCAGCAAGGCAATGCATCTTTAGGGAGGGAAAAACTGTCTACCATTTGACATTCCATAAATCAAACCTGGTGAATTTTAACCTATGAACTTATCTAAAGTCCCATGAACCAACTAAAAGGTTTTAAATTTCCACCTTCTAAATTAATTTCTGTTCAGACACCACTTATTTATATAAACCAAAAACGGCAAAAAAAAAAAAAAAATCACTTCATGATTGTATATAACACATTTGCATCTGTTCTGTGCATATTTTATTGAATAAATAAAAACTTAATTGGTTTGGTTTTTAAAACCTATAAACAATATCCTTAGTTTGATCACTGAAAATATACAACTTTATGTAACCAAAATGCTTAAAGGATTTTGTTCACCGAGTGTTGGCTATTTATACCTATACATATGAAAATCTGACCTGTCAAAACTGGTTTTGCAGTAGCCATATTTGAGATATATGTGGATTTCTATAAAAGTTGACTCTTCAAATTATGAGATCTAATACAACACCCAGGTATTAAGGGAAAAAATGATTTTGCAACTCCAAGTTGGGACTTACATAAGAAATCACTGTGGTGTTATCAACCTTAAAAATTCTATTGAGTGCTTTCATTTTTCAAAATAAAACAGGACAAGTAAATAACAACAATACCTCAAAAACTTCCATAAATGGCTAAGCTATACTATTTTACAGCTACAAGAACATGATGTTTGTATTTCCCTGAGAGCATAGTTTGCTTTGAGTTCAATGACACAGTGTATGTGTATGTGTGTGTTTTCCGAAGCCATTGAGACCAGAATAGATGAAAGCTAAGAAGAGAACATGAATCTGCTGGTGTTCTGATAAGCTTAGTACCCTGCCTGTTTCAGATCAACCTTGGCAACTGGAGTCCCTCAACCTCATCTACAGATTCCGCTCCACCAAAGACTCTGGGCCACCTTCCCTCTAGGACAGGAGACGCAGCTGAGCAGCTCAGAGGCCCCACAGCAAGTTGGCCCAAATGCTGTGCCCGCTCTAACTCATGCCTCTGCTCTAAGAAGTGGGTTCCTTCCTTATTTCCTTGCCTGGAATTCTCCCTTACCCTTATTCTCCCTTACCCTTCTTGGGACTAGAGTCAAGCTCACAAACTCCAGGGCCTCCGATATCATTTTCCAGACCTGCACCCTTGGAACCTGACCTCCTCCTACCCCATCTTCTTCCCAGCCAGGGGTGCTCTGTCCACTCGCAGGCCCTGCCTCAATCTCCAGTCTGCTGAGCCAGAACATCCTGCCATGTCCTGCCTGAGTCCGAGGGTTGTCCCTGGGTTAATTCTCAGCTTGGTTTTCCCCCTACTGATGGTGTGGGTTATAACAGTTACCTTCCTGCAAATGTGTTTGTCTTTATTTCTTAGAATGAATTTTAGATTTTAGAAGCTCTCATCCCTGGCTAGTGGCTAGAAGCTAAAATCCTGATGACTATACTTAAGTTTCCCCCAAATGACTTGAACTTTCTTTCTCGAAGAGCTACAGACTGGCAGCTTCAAATACAGAACCCTCAATCTTCTAACAAGGTGTATCTGTTCCCTACCCCATGTCATTATTAGGACTCCCCATTTCCTGAGTGTCAGCTACATGAAATTTTCCACAATTCACCTGCATATCTGGTGTTGTAAAAAATCATAAAGAGTGCTTCCATGATTCATTTAGGTATTCTGATGTAGTCCAGAAACTTGGGTCCTACATTTAGAATCAGGTTTATAGCACAGAAATCCCAAATCCTCACTTTCCCAGCATAGGGTTGACCTGCTGATGGGCACGAAGTTTGCCAATGGGTCTTATCAAAGGACCACCATCTGCTCCCTGAAAAGACAAACATGTAAGCAATGGCCACTGGTTGACTTTACTGCACAGCTTACCACCATGACCCCCTGAAAGGCAATCAAGACTTGGATCCAGCCTCATCACTTCATATACATCTCATTTTTAGCTAACTTGAAGAAAAGAAAAACAAAAATATTAACTGGTGGCCTATTTACCCATATCGAGTGTCCAGCATGGAGATTTGCCATTCATGGGTGTCCTCATGGCTTGGCAGATATGAAGCACTCCATGAATGTTTGCTGAATTGAACTAGATTACATTGTTACATCGTTTCAGTTGGGAGCTTCCTGATGGTTATTATAGTGCTCATGAGTCAGCCATAGTTTGTTCTAAAATTCCACAAATATGCTTCTATTAGCCTGTGTTACTTTCCACAGCAGAGAGCTGAACTGTCATGCCTCTAAGGCACAGAGCCTTTCACACACCAACATACATTTATATTTATCTTCAATAATCTGGCACAAACAGAAATCTCACCTGTAATTTTTCAAGTTTTTGCAATCTGTTTCAAATATTAGCTTCTTCTAACCATGACTGTTTAATGAAAATTAAGTTCACTGTCAACTCTAATAACTCTAACTTCCCAAACGGCTGAGAAGAACAAGCCACACTGGACATGAAATAAAACTCTATAAAGAGAATTGAAATCATATGATGAAAATAAAGTCCATTGGGTAATGCAGTTACTATGTTGTTATCATTGTTGCTTTTTAAATACAGCGTATGAAACAGGATCTCTTAACCTGTTTCTCCAGCTTGGGGATTACAATGAATTTCCAGTGAGCTCATTTGAAAGCTCTAGCTCTTACAGTGAAGGACAGATTCTGTTCTTTAAGTCACAATTGAGCTACACTGATCAAAAAAACAACTAGAAGTGCTTTTTAAAAGTCCTGAAAACGAAGGCTTCAGGAGGATGGGGTATCAGGAAGGTGGACCTAAATCACTGTCCAAAAACTAGAAAGTGTACCATCAAGGAGAATCTGTCGTTCCTGTGGAGGCCAGCTGTGTTCAGGTGTTTACTTTTTTAAATAAAACAGTAGTTTAAGTCTCTAGAAACATCTTTTCTAAATTGCAGTACAACTGATGAACACTAAGAGGCCAGGGCACCAGACTGTGCTAAAGGTACAATTCTGTCTGGTAATGACAGTTCTGGTCCAAAATGGGCCATCTTATGATCATTAAAAAAAAAAAAAGGCCGGTTCCATGGCTCACGCCTGTAATCCCCACACTTTGGGAGGCCGAGGAGGGCGGATCACAAGGTCAGGCGTTCAAGACCAGCTTGGCCAAGATGGTGAAACCCCGTCTCTACTAAAACTACAAAAATTAGCTGGGTGTGGTGGCAGGTGCCTGTAATCCCAGCTACTCAGGAGGCTGAGGCAGGAGAATCACTTGAACCAGGGCGACAGAGGTTGTAGTGAGCCAAGATCATGCCATTGCACTCCAGCCTGGGCGACTTCATCTCAAAAAAAAAAAAAAAAAGACAGAACACAAGTATTTCATCTTTCATCTCTTTCAAAGCAAACAGGCCTTCCCAAACCCATCCCCCAGACCTTTCAAGTGGAAGAACCTATGAGATATTCTTGGCAAGGAGCCCAAATGACTCCTTGGTTTAAATTTTGGTAAAGGGTGGGGATGAGGGAGGATGCAGAATAAAAAAGAAAAGGAAAGAAAACAGGAAACCTTTATTTCCCTGCCGTGCTGAGTGAATCTTTTAGCAGACTTGCCGAAACAAGAAGTGAGCCAAGTTTTTTTGTCTTTGTTTTTGTTTTTGTTTTTGAGATAGAGTTTCACTTTTGTTGCCTGGGCTGCAGTGCAGTGTCACGATCTCGGCTCACTGCAACCTCCACCTCCCAAGTTCAGGTGATCCTCCTGCCTCAGCCTCCTGAGTAGCTGGAATTACAGGCGCCTGCCACTGCACCAGGCTAATTTTGTATTTTCAGTAGAGACGGGGGGTCTCACCATGTTGGCCAGGCTGGTCTCGAACTCCTGACCTCAGGTCATCCACCCGCCTTGGCCTCCCATAGTGTGGGATTACAGGCGTGAGCCACCACGCCTGGCATGAGCCAGGTTTTGTTTTTGGTTTTTTGTTTGTTTTTCCTGCCTGAGATACGCAGCGTGGTGGAAGGAGCATTGACTTCGGAGCTGAAAGACCTGGGTTTTAGACTCCTGGGGTAGCTACTTGCTATCTGAGTGATCAGGGGCATGCCACTTAGCCTCTGTGAAACTCTGTTCCCTCACCTGTAAACTAGAAGTGATAAGAGCCACTCACCAGGTTAAATGAACCCATACAAGGAAGTGCCTGGCACAGAAGCCAGCATAGGGTGGGTGGGTCCTGAATACTAAATATTACTCTTCCTCACCTCCCCTCCTGAGGTAGGTCATGAAACATTCCTGGCCAGTCTCAAGTGACCCCAAATTGTGACTTCCAAGGTTCTCCCAAAGTGAGTCAAGGGGATCCCCTGACGCATGGCCTCAAACTCGAGCCTGCAGCCTGAAGTGGGGCTGGAGGAGGGTGAGAGGTGAGGCAGGCACGCTGAGGATCGGGGGGGCTCTCCAGCTCCCCATCCTGCTGTCAGACAGACACTGCTCCAGGCACGATCCTGCGGATGTGCGTGTACGACTTCCTGATGGTGACACTGCCGTGGTGCGACACACCCCGGGGCAGGACACACTCCTCTGTCAGTTTCTGGGCCTCGGGGTCCCAGCACAGCACCGTGGCGATAACCTCGTTCTTCTCGTCCCGCCCGCCGGTGATGTAGAGCCGGTTGTTGCAGGGTGCGATTCCGCAGCTGGCCCGCTCGTGGCTGAGCTGGGTCACCAGGCACCAGCTGTCTTCCAGGGGGCTGTAGGCATACAGCGCCCTCATGGCCCCACCTGAAGAGAGGGAGGAAACTCTGTGGGCATCGCTCCATTTTTCTGGGTTCTTCCCTCTTAACCACTAAAATTCAATTTCTGGTTAGGCCAAGTCTACCCTCTTGCCAAGAGAAACAGTCGATTGACGGCTCTTCTGAAAGCCAGAGTGGGTCCTAGGGGCAGTGAGTTGCCAGCAGTGGAGACACCGCGACACACCCTTGACGCGCTGCAGCCAAGCGCTAATCAGATTCTAAGTCATTCAGATCAATAAGAAGCCATTACTCACCAACGACATAGATGCGGTCCCGGAAACTCACTGCATTGATGCATTTGGCCTCCACCGGCATGGCCGCCTTCAAACTCCACTTGTTGGTGGAAGGGTCATAACACTGAGTCTTGTCTGTGGCCAGTTTCCCATTGGGCCCTCCTCCAATCACATAGAGCTTCTTCTTATGGCTGGTGGCTGCAAAGGAACTGACATGGACAAGGAGGGGTGCAGCCTGTAGAGGCACAGGGCACAAGAAGAAGCTGTCAGTCATGCTGCCCAGATTGCTGCAGTAACTCCCAGGATACAGGACAGAGCTCCAGGACACAGAACTGGGCATCGTTTGCCTAAAGTCACAAGGCCTGTAGGCTTGAATCCTCTGAAGACACAGCAAGAATGAAAGCATGCATTTCTCACCCTCCCTCCAGGCTCCACGCAAGCTACAGCAAGCTGTGTGTTGGGATATGCCACACTCTCCCAGAATCCAGCTCTCAGGGAAGGAGGAGTATAGGTAAGAATAAGTTTATACAGATGAAATCAGCCAGTGTTGGAGGAAAATGATGTTTTATACATGCATATTCATATACGTTCATGTGCTCATCCACTCAAAAAATATCTATGGAGTGCCTACTATGTACCAGCATTGATTTTCCTTGGTGCTTATATCTAGGAAGAAAAGCTGGTATACGGGTTTGAGGTGGCCACAGGTAAGCAGACTCTTCCATTATAGGGTAGCACTGAGGATTCTGAGATTAAGTCAGACGTGTGCTTCTACCCTATGAACCCCAGGACACTAAAGGAGACTTCCAAGAGCCTCTTGCCCATTTATTTGCAGGATCCTTTTAGATCATGGAGCAGCTCTGTGATCGGGCTTGTTTTGAGAAGATCTTAGGTACGCTCCCCATAAATGTTAAGGGCTCTCAATATAGCACTTTTCAGGCTGACAGTCTTGGCTAGATGTGTTGACCTGGCAACCTTTGCTTGTGCCTACAATGACTGTGTTGTACACTCCATTAAGCTGGAACATGCTTGGACATCTGATCTGATAAGGAAAAAGAAAATTAGAAATTGGGAATAACTTGGAAATGAGATGAGGTGGCTTTTCTTTTCCTGAGTCTGATATACACCTGAGGTTGCATTGATAAGTCTGACATGCAGGGCTGCAAGTGGCTCATCATCAATGGGAAAATAAAGAAGGGATGACTTCTAACATGACCAAATACTCTGGGTTCATAAACGGTATAGTAAAGTGATCCGCATGTGTCCAGTGCGGAGAATAGGAGACAAGGCATCTGAGGAGACAAGACTCTACGTCAAGACATGCAGACCAAGAGATCTCCCATCTAAGGACAGGGTGAGCCTCCGTCCACATCTGGAATTCTGTCCAAATTAGGACAGGTGCCCACACAGACCTTCACCACTTGGAAGGACACTGTTTCTGTGATTTGATCAGTGATACTGAAGCAATAGCTCCTAGGAGGAGGGAAGCTCAGAGCCACCAAAAATGTTCTCCTTGGGAGTAAAGTGATCAGAAAGCTGGCCACCATGGTAGGCATGTTCCAAAGCTTTCTAAAAAAGCATTGAAGTAATAATACAGGCAGTTACTGGTAGAAATCGTCTCCTATACCTCTGACCAGCAGTTGTGAAAGGGGTCGTAGGTCTCCACGTTGTTGATTCTCTGTAAGCCGTCGAAGCCTCCAATAACATAAACCTTGCCACCCAATACCACCATCTTATGCCTCCAGCGGCCTATGTTTAAATACTCAATCTGAATCCACTTGTTGATCGAAGAATTATATTTCCAAACATCATGCTGTGTTTCTTTGCCACCTGCAAGAGATACAAAGCATTTAAGAAACCATCAGATGCGTCAGAAATACAGCTTCTCCCATAATATCCCACATATCCAAAAGTGCCAAGTCCCCAGACCAGCCGTACCCTGAGGGGAGATGTAAGAAACCCGGCTAGTGTGTGCTGTCTGGCAGGGGAGATGAGGCAAACGCAGGGGAACAGGGAGAGACAGAAGGGATGATGTACCACACTGTGTCATGTGCCACCTCAGTGCTGTGAGAGTTCAGAGAAGAGGTGGCTAAGTGAGCAGGGCCCCAAGAAGGCTTCAGGGGGGCAGGATCCAAGCCAGCCTGGGTGGGTAGGGGCCAGAGGGAGTCTGGACTCAGTGTTTGCGCTCACAAGGAGCAGGAAGCAAGGCTGGGCGGGGACAGTGGGGTTTGTGCAGAAGGCAAATTACATGGCAGCTTAAGTTCTATGTTTACTTAATTATTTAAACAAAAAAGCAAAGATACAGACCTGGAAAAATCACTAAGAAATCGTACAACATTCTCTTGGTGTGTCTCTCTGATCTGTATAAAAAGGTCAGTGGGATTTATCCTATTTCTAAATTAATTTTTGTTATAAAAGTACGAGATGCTCACAATAGATCATTTGAGAGTGATCTGGTAAATATTTTCTTGAAGACAACGCTCTTAAAAAACAGAAAATAAGTAATTCAGCAGCTGGGGAAAGAGACAAAGACAAAGGAGAACTGCCTTTTTTGGTGATTTTAATCAAATATTTAACAGCTTTGTGTTTCCATTTTCCCATCAGCATAGAGTACTGCCAACTACTTAAAGCAAAGATTTACTTTCCAGACTTACATCTGTGCAACAGTGGAGAAGTGAACATTACTGACCACATTCTGTGTCGGGTGTTTCTCTAGTGCAGAACCCGGAAGTGGGTTTTCTAAGTCAAAGGCATGTGCACCCTGAGTTTTTATAGGTGCAGCCAAGGCACGCTCCGCAGCTGTGCTGGTTGACTTTTCCTCATACCCAAGTTTTGTTGGTGGTGGTAGTTTTGTTTTCTGCCTTTCTTTTCTTTTTTTTTTTTTTAAGTCTGATGGAGAAAAACTCTGTCAGTTTGGTTTTCCCTTACTACGAGGGAAGTGGAGCTTCCTCTGCCTTGAATCTTTTGTTCATATGCTTTGGCCATTTTTCTTTGGGTGGGGTACCTTTCAAAGGTCTCCATTTATTCAAAACATTGATCCTATTTAGGTAGTGTCAAAAAGTATAAATATAAAATAACTGTAAATTTTCAAAGAAATATATGCAAACTTTATTAAAACCTATGATTTTATTTTAGGACTAAAAAAAAAAAAAAAACCAAGAAAGCATATGGTGTGCATAAATGATAAATGAGAAGACACCTTATTGTGAAGATGTCAACCCTCCCTAGGTTAATCTATATACTCAGTGCCTTCAGGACTTTTGGGGGGAACTTGATGAGATAATTCTAAATTTCACTGGGAAGAGTAAGTTTGGAAAAATTTCTAAGAAACTTTTGAAAAAGAAAAGTGAAGAAGGAGGCTTTCCTTATCAAGTATTAAAATATACAAAAAAGCTAACCTAATACAAACAGTGCAGTACTAGACAAACTGTTCAGTTAAAAACAAGAGCACAAAAACAGACTAAAATATATACAGATCATTAAATAAATGTTATTAGAACAACTGGTTGTTCATTTGGATAAAAATTAAGTTAGATACTTATTTTACATTACATTTAAAATAAAATTCAAATGTTACTGCTATAGAAGTAACTGGAGAATGTATAGGATATTATGTTAATGGCCTTGGGGTTAGGAGGGGTTTTCTAAGCGTGACATGAAATGTGGAATTGTATAGGAAAGAAAACAAGTATATAAATATAAAGTTAAAAAACAGCCACAGTCTAGGAGAAAATATTTGCAACACAAATAGCAAAGGATATATAATTAGAGCTCCAAAAAATTACTAAGAAAAAGACAAAAACTGATAGGAACTGTCAAAGAGTATAAATAGATAATTTTAAAAAATAAATCCAATTATCTGGTAAATATATAAACTATGCTCAACCTCACTAATGACCTAGGAGTATAAATTCAAACATTCTAGTCTATTAAAAATTTAAATGACTAACAATAGAAATCGTGAGCAAGGATATAGAAAACGGGCACTGTCACTCATCACTGATTGGACTGTTAAATTGGTACAACTTTTCTGTAGGACGATTTCACAATATATACAAAATTCTCAATTCACATATGACCACTTCCAGGAAACTTTCCAAGTAGCAGCACAAGTATGAAAAAATATGTGTCTAAGAATGCCTACTGCAGTATTTTTTAAGGAGATTTAAAAAAAAAGAAAGCTAAAAAAATTATGGTTTATCCATTTGGTAGACTGCCATATAGCTGGTAAAAAAAATAACAGTAGTGATAATACTGGCCAGCGTAATTAAGCTCCCATGATGTGCTTTTCAAGAGTAACTACATCACTTAATATGTATATCCATTAAACCAACATGTCATCATGTCCAGATGATATTGTTAATTGAAGTACAAGTTTCTATTGATTTAACTGTATATAACAAGCATGCTTTCAGGTGTTGCTTGTATCATTAAAAAGTGAACAATAAATTTATGACAAAAGAATAACATGTGGGCTGGGCACAGTGGCTTACACCTGTAATCCCAGCACTTTGGGAGCCTGAGGTGGGAGGATCACCTGAAGTCAGGAGTTCAACACCAGCCTGGCCAACATGGTGAAATTCTGTCTCTACTTAAAATACAAAAAAAATTGGGCCAGGCGCGGTGGCTCACGCCTGTAATCCCAACACTTTGGGAGACCAAAGCAGGCAGATCACCTGAGGTCAGGAGTTTGAGATCAGCCTGTCAATATGGTGAATCCCCCGTCTCTACCAAAAATACAAAAATTAGCCAGGCATGTTGGTGGGCACCTGTAATCCCAGCACTTTGGGAGGCCGAAGTGGGTGGATAACCTGAGGTCAGGAGTTTGAGACCAGCCTGGCCAACATGGTGAAACCCCTTCTCTACCAAAGATACAAAAATTGGCCAGGCATGATGGCACGTGCCTGTAATCCCAGCTACTCAGGAGGCTGAGGCAGGAGAATTGCTGGAACCTGGGAGGCAGAGGTTGCAGTGAGCCGAGATCTCTCCATGGCACTCCAGCCTGGACAACAGTGAGACTCCATCTCAAGAAAAAAAAAGAAAGAAAGAAAGAAAAAGAATAACACGTGTAGTATATGTGACAAAGACTGACTATGATGACCACACCTGTTGATCCCTCCTGGGCACATAGCTAAACTACATTTCCCAGCCCCCTGCACCTAGACGGGGTGAGGGGAGGGTAAGGGAGGTCATGTCGCTAGTTTTTGCCAATGGAGCGTGAGCAAAATCAATGGCCCTTCCAGGCTGAGGCTTTTGTGAGCAGGTGTGACTTCTCAACTCCCTCAGCGTTTTTCTCATCCCTAAATCAAGTCCACATGTAGGAAGAAGCAGTGTCACAAGATGGCAGGATCCTAGGCCCCTGAATACCTGAATGGAGCAGACCGTCCTCCCCCTGACCCCTGCATACTATTGTGTTAATTCACTGAGACTTAGGATTTGTAACAGCAGCTAAAATTATTTACCCTGAGCAAATAGAAAATAATTTTTGTAAAAAATGAAAACCCATAGAATTGTGATGGCACAGAGAAACTGCCCTATTTTACTTTACTTGCTCTGCGTTGTTTGGATCTTCTACAACAATTAAGGCCGGGCGTGGTGGCTCACACCTGTAATCCCAGCACTTTGGGAGGCTGAGGCGGGTGGATCACAAGGTCAGGAGTGCAAGACCAGCCTGACCAACACAGTGAAACCCTGACTGCACTAAAAATACAAAAATTAGCCAGATGTGGTGCCACACACCTGTAATCCTAGCTACTTGGGAGGCTGAGGCAGGAGAATCGCTTGAACATGGGAGCTGGAGGTTGCAGTGAGCTGAGATCATGCCACTGCACTCCAGCCTGGGCAACGGAGCTAGACTCCGTCTCAAAAAAAAAAAAAATTAAAAAAAATTTCTGCAAGATGAAAAGAAAGCTAGAACCTAATCAACGATATGAATGCATCCAAAGGACGACCTGTCCTTGATTTTGGAGGAAACACGCTCTGGGGTGCTGCTTTCCTCTCAACAAGTTCAGATTCGAGAAAAGCCTGTAAGAAAGGGGAAGGGAAGCTTGTCTCCTTCCTTAGGGTCCCAGGGAGAGCCAAGTGGCTTTGATGTGATGGGGAGAGCGTGGTCGTTAGGCTCAGAACTTGGGTTGAAGTCCTGCCTGACACCTACCCAGTGTGCGACCTTAGGTATGTTCAAGAATCTTTCTGCGCCTCTGTTTTCTCCTACCCTAAAAACCCCTATCTTACAGAGCTGATGTGAGAGGCAAACAATTAAATGTTATTAAAGTATAAATGTATCTACTCAGTAAAGATGGTTGAGACTGTGTCATTCAATAAATATTTACTGAACATTTACCCGGAGGTCAGGCACAGTGCTAGGTACAGGGGCTATAGTGTTACCCCTCATGGAACTTCAGGTCTAATGGGAAAGACAGACACAAAGTAACTACCAATACTGAAGCAAACATTTTCCTCATGAAAAAGTATTGGGTCCTACTGAAGTATACCCAAGTACAACCTAATAAACATGGGAGGGGTCAGGTTTGGGGGAAGAGCAGACGTGTTTACTCATTACTGAATTCCCACTGCGTAGCTCAGGGGCCTATGCCTATAGCAGACACTGAATAAACCCTTACCACTTTCCCTCTTCTTTTTCCGTGAAGGACTGGACTTGTCTGCCTCCTCTCTAGGTTTTCTATTAATGCTGGCCAGACAAGGTGGCTCACGCCTGTAATCCCAGCACTTTGGGAGGCCGAGGCCCGTGGATCACCTGTCGTCAGGAGTTCAAGACCAGCCTGGCCAACATGGTGAAACCTCGTCTCTACTAAAAATACAAAAATTAGCCGGGCATGGTGGCAGGCACCTGTAATCCCAGCTACTCGGGAAGGTGAGGCAGGAGGATCACTTGAACTCAGGAGGCAGAGGTTGCAGCTAGCCAAGATTGTGCCACTGCACTCCAGCCTGAGCAATAGAGCGAGACTCTGTCTCAAAAAAGAAAAGAAAAGAATAGCGCAATGCTGCTCAGTTTGGTGTTTATTAAGGAGCAATGTACCCTCCAAGATAAGACCACCTGAGCTCCTGGGTCCATATCCTGTCTCAGTCAGAGCCAGAACATTGCCAATTCACAGTAATTCTAGGATGGTTGCCTGGCTGCCACTCAGGAACATATGTAGTGCTATTGGGGCTTGCTGTGGCTTTACATGACTCCTGCTTACCTGAGATGTAGACCTCATTTTTCAATGTCACGCATGCAAACTCCACCCACTTCTTATTCTCACTCTCCAGCTCATGCTCCGTTAGCGGGAGCTTGGCCACCTCCAGGCGGCTGCGCCTCAGGGGGTCCAGGCAGGTCACCTCTGCCACAAACCGTTCATCCTTCGTGCAGCCGCCGATGATCATGAACACCTCAGACTGGAACTCATGCATCCTGGGCTTGGTGCGCTCCGAAATGATCTGGAAATCAATGTGGGCACATAAAGGCAAGACAACACAAAGTTTCAGAGCTCGGGCTATGGAGCCATTAGGAGCCGGGTCCAATTCCCACATCTGCCATGGTATGACCGTGTGACTTCACCTCCCTGAGCCTGTTTCATCATCTGTATAATGGGGATATTAGAGGTAACTACCTCATACGTGTGTTGTGAGGATTAAATGGGATAATATAGAGAGCGTGCTTCACCCAGGGCCTGGTGCATAACAGGTACTCAATAAATGTTACCTGTTTTTGCTGCTGTTTTAAGAGATTGGGGTCTATGTACCATCAGATGCCCTTCCTGCCTTTCCTCTCCTGCCTAGTCTGAAACCTTAAATCCTGGAATTTCATTTTGGGCTACTTTCCATTCCCCCTTGGCTTTAATTTCTTGATGAGACCTCAGACTTTGCTCACCATCAGCCTTCTGGAAGAGACATCCTGGACAGTGATGACCTACGAGCATTCAGTGACTTAGGAAACAAGAACTAGAAGGAATCAGGGTGTGGCCAGGGAGGGAGGAAGGCTGGTTCCAACATACAGTAAATGACCTTTCAGAGCTTTGAACCAGTGAAGAAATCCATACTATGGGTATTTGAACCCTGCTGAAAGAGCAGAAGTTCGAAAGTCAAATGTACCAGTGTTCTATCACCTGTGGCCATGTGACCTTGGAGAAGTAACACGACCTCTGTAGACTGCTTGTAATCATTTCTGTGCTCTCAGATGACTGTGAGCATTCATAAGGTCATGAGGTAGAGGTGTGAACAGAGCACCTGGCACACACTCGCCCCTCAACAGCTAATTATGCCTGTAGGAGCAGCGGTAGATGCCATATTGATACTGCTGTAAAAGGAAGAGCTGCCCTTCCTGGTTCCATTGATCCCCTGGGCTCCATGATGAAGGTTCCATAGGTGTGATGATGGGAGGCAGAGAGGCAGCCACCATTTCCCAGATGGCCAGAGTCGCCAATTTTCCTACAAAATTAGACTGATTTAACACAGACTACAGAACTCCGATTCTGCCCATAGGTGGTGACAAATAGGTTACAGCAGCAAAGACTGAGCCCTCAAACAGTGAATCCGACCAAGAGCCACAAATAATCAGACCAGCCAACTCCCAGCCTCTAATTTTCCATAACAGTCTTTGGCTGGTTGGTCGGTTTTCTGTGCCTAGGAGCCTGGTACGGTGAATTCTGCATCCTTCGATCTTGAGGCTGGACCATGGCCATAAAGTTTGTGGCAGGGCAGTTCCTTATGGGTCAGCAGAGTGGGGATAGGTGTGACTGGACAAAGCCTAGGCAATGGGCTGGCCCTGACAGTGTGGACAGCAGAACGGTGCTGGGATAAGGGTGAAGGGGTGAGCCAGGGAACTTGGAGGCACCACGAGAGCACCAAGCTGGCAGGACAGGATCTGGGCAATGGCACCAAAGACAAACTTTGCTGCTCTGCAACTTTCTCTTCAGCTATCAGCCGTGGTTCCTGTCCCTAAACCCCATTCCCCACAGCTGAGGCACAACCTCCAGCACCAGTCTATCCGGTCCTCTTTCAGAGGGGATTTAGGTGTTGCAGGGCAATGCTTAGAAAACAGTACTGGCCTCCCTGAATTGATTCCCTCGTGACCCTTTCTTCAGTTCTGGGAACCAGGCCTCAGCCTCCACTCCGAAGCTCCCCTCATTTTATTTGTAATGCCTGCTCTCCTGCCCCAATAACCTGTTGGGTAATTGACAGGCTGCTACAAGGACTGGACTAGCCGTGATCTCACCTCCTGACCTCCAGGTCTGGCATCTCATTCCTTGGTCCTGACCTATGAAAGGCTGTCCTCCTACTGGCTAAAATTCCTGGTTTCCTGCCTGCTGTCTGGATCTCCCCATAATATTCTATTCTCAATTTCCCATGCTACCACCCCAATCCACTTACCCCTTTAAGGCATTTGAGTAATTTACCATGTCACTTTGTCCTTTTCTCCAGGAAACCATTCCTAACTTTGCACTCATTCCCATGACCCTGAATTTCCCCCACAACAGCACTTTTCATGCTTCACTGTAATTTACTGTAAGGCCCCTGATGGCAGGAACAGCCCTTTTTCTCCAATGGATCCTCAGCACCAAGAATAGTACCTGGAGCTTGTGGGCATCTATAAACATTGATTAAATGAGCGAGTGAGCTGGGTGCAGTGACTCATGCCTGCAATCCCAGCACTTTGGGAGGTCGAGGCAGGTGGATAACCTGAGGTCAAGAGTTCAAGATCAGTCTGGCCAGCATGGTGAAACCCCATCTCTACTATAAATAAAAAAGGAAAATAAAGAAAATTAGCAAGATGTGGTGGTGGGCACCTGTAATCCTAGCTACTCGGGAGGCTGAGGCAGGAGAATCACTTGAACCTGAGAGGCAGAGGGTGCAGTGAGCCGAGGTCGCACCATTGCACTCCAACCTGGGCAACAAGAGCAAAACTCCATCTCAAAAAATTAAAAAAAAAAAAAAGGAGTGAATAGATGAGTGAATGAATGGGCAAGCTGGGTAACTCAGTCTAAATCACTGTGGTAGTAGGCATCCACGATGGCCCCAGTGATCCCTGCTTCCTGGTATTCACATCTGTGTAGTTCCCTCCACACTGTTCTAGAATTGGTCTCTATGACCAACAGATTACAGCAGAAGTGATGATACATCACTTCTGAAATTAGGCTATAAAAGGCACTACCAGCTTGCATCCTGATTACTCTCTCAGTCTTTCTTAGGTCATTTGCTCTGGGGGAGGCCAGCTGTTATAGAGATGCCCACATGGCAAGAAACTGAGGCTCCCAACCAGCAGCCAGCAAGGATCTGATGCCTGCCAACAGTCCAGTGAGTGAGCCTGAACCCCATTTGAACTTTGAGATCACTGCAGCCCCAGCCAACAGCTTTACTGCAACTTCGTAAGAGACCCTGAGCTAGAAGCACCCAGCTAAACCACTCCTAGATCCCTGACACTCAGAGCCTGTCAGATAGTAAGTGTTTGTTATTTTAAACTTTTCAGTTTGTGGGTAATTTGTTATGCAGCAACTGAGAACTAACACAATCATCTAGCTGATGGGCTTGGCTGGGTAATGAGACCTGCTTTAGAACTCAGCACCACGGGACCGCCAAGTGGTGGCACCATTACCACATTGTAAGATCAGCTACATGTGGCAAAATATTAGCCCCAATGTCATAACAAATGTCAATCTGAAGTCTGAGACGGGCCAGTTTGTTGCAGACATGCGGAAGTGTTTGCCAATGAACGGCATGCAACAATCAGGCATAACCAGTTTATTTTCAGATTGTTAAAAACAGAGCAGATAATTGCACCTCAGTGACTGCTCAACTGTCCACAGATCTTACACTAGGGGACACAGTGAGCATATTGTTTCAGCAAAGTTATCCTTGGGCTGGAGCCTCTGCTCCCCTTTTCCCACATCACACATGTCAGAGTAACCTTTGGTATAGACCAGGTTCATATCTGAAAACTTAAGAGGCAATTAAGTGAAGAGGCAAATTTCCTCTGTCCCCAAATATCTCTTTCAATGAAGTTTCCAGCTACCATTCCCAAATCAAATAGAGATTGACATTTGCTTTTGGTGTTCTAAAATTTCCTGTTGTTAATATCAGTTTAGAGGATGGACAAGGTTAAAAGAGAAAGATGGGCTGGGCACGGTGGCTCACTCCTGTAACCCCTGTAACCCCAGCACTTTGGGAGAATGAGACGGGCAGATCAACTGAGGTCAGGAGTTTGAGACCAGCCTGACCAACATGGAGAAACCCCGTCTCTATTAAAAATACAAACTTAGCCAGGGGTGGTGGCACATGCCTGTAATCCCATCTACTCAGGAGGCTGAGGCAGGAGAATCTCTTGAACCTGGGAGGCAGAGGTTGCAGTGAGCCGAGATCGCGCCATTGCACTCCAGCCTGGGCAACAAGGGTGAAAGTCTATCTGAAGAAAAAAGCAAACAAACAAACGGGAAAGATGACAATAGGACAAGAGGGTTAAAGTTTGGTAAATGAAGGGTACGGGGAGAAGTGTGTTCACAGAGTAGCCTCCAGGCTCACGCTACTGTCATGAGGAGTCAACCCAAGACCCTTCCAGCAGTGAGCAGACTGGATTCTCAGGGAATCAACTGGCAACGAATGAGACCCCAATTAGGAGGTCATGGTGGTTGGTTGGTTGGTTCAGTTGCCCAAACTATAAAATGAGGATGAGAAAGTGCCTTGAGAAGGATTTGGGAAATTAAGGCCACAAAAACCTGGGACACAGTGAAAAGACTGATTTTAACCCCAGAGAAGGATTGATTGTGAGAGATTATTACTTAATTCTCAAAACAGTTCTATCAATCGGTAGATAGTATTATCCCCATGTTACAGATCAGAACTGTGCCTTAGCGTAGTTAAGTAATTGCCTGAGGTTACACTGTAAATAAATTGTGCAGTCAAGATTAACACCCAGATCTCTGCCTGACTCAAAGCCCAGGTTCTCACCACTGAAGAATTTTCCAGATGTCAGAATTCTCTCTCCTCCTAAATCTAAAGCTTATAATGTCTGACTCTGCCCCCAGCACCTTGGAAATACAAAAGGCAATGAAAATATTTTATTGCAGCAATTGTGCAGAAGACAGGGTAGGGACCTTTTATATCAGAGAAAAGCCTTTATCATCTGCATTTCAAGGACTTAGAAAATAGGAAGCAGAAACAAAAATAGCAAAAATATTGGAAGTATAGTTGAGCAAGGCACTGTTTATGTTTAAATTGTTTTAAAGTGCTATTTATTTATTTTAACTTTTATTTTAGGTTCAGGAGCATGTGCAGATTTGTTATATAGGTAAATTGTGTGTCGTGGGGGTTTGGTGTGCAGATTATTTCATCATCCAGGTAATAAGCATAGTACCTGATAGGTAGTTTTTCAATCCTCACCCTCCTCTCATCCTCTACCCTCAAGTAGACCCTGGTATCTTTTGTTCCCTTCTTTGTGTTCATGTGTACTCAAACTTTAGCTCTCACTTATAAGTGAAAATATGCACTATGTGGTTTTCTGTTCCTGTGTCAGTTCACTTAGGATAATGGCCTCCAGCTCCATCCATGTTGCTGCAAAAAACATGATTGCATTCTTTTTTATGCATTCTTTTTTATTCTTTTCTATGTAGTATTCCGGGGGAGACACTGAATAAATGCTGAACTGAGGGCAGTTGCAGAGACTGAGACCTGTCTGCAATTATATGCAGGCTGTCTGCTAGACATCCAGCATAGAATAAGGCCTATGTGGTTTCCTAGGCTTCCCCCATCAATCCACTCATCACCCTTCATTTGTTAAATGTCCCATCTTCTCTGACACACAGACTGTTTAGCAGTACCTGGGTAAGACACAGACTGTTTTGCAGAACCTGGTGCCATATCTGGCATAGAGTTGGTGTTCAGGATTTATTTGCAAAAAATGAAGGCATAGCATGCTTAACTACATGGGATGCTGTTTACACAGTTTTAAGGGGGAAATTTATAGCATGAAAGCCAATATTAGAAAGAAAGAAAGTCTCAAATCAGTGGCCTCCACTTCCACCTTAAGAAACTAGAGAAATAAGTGTAAATTAAACCCAAACTAAGCAGAGAGAAAGAAAATAATGATCAGAGTGGAAATAAGTGAAATAGAAAAGAGAAAAACAATAGAGAAAATCAAATGAAACTAGACATTAGTCATTTGAGAAAAATCAATAAAATTGATAAGCCTCTAACCAGATTGATCAGGAAAAATAAAAGGGGCAGAAACAAATTACCAATATCTGGAATGAGAGATGTGACAACACTATAGATTCTGCAGGTATTAACAAGATAATAAAGGAATACTCTAAACAACTTTATGTCAATACATTCAGCAACTTATATTAAATGAAAAAATTATTTGAGGCACAAACTATCAAAGTTCATTCTAGAAGAAACAGAGATCCTAAATAGTCCTATATCTATTAAAGAAATATATATTATAGTTTAAAAACTTTCCACAAAGAAAACACCAGGCTCTGGTAAATTCTACTAAACATTGAAGGGTATGTTTGCAGAGTGAATGAATGAACAGTGGATCTAAGGACCACACCAAAAAAAAAAAAAAAAAAAAAAAAAAAAAAAAAGACTAGAAAAGAACACAGAAAAAGGGAGAAACTCCAAAAGAACCTCAGACAGACAATTCCTGAGCCATGTTTGGCTAAGGCTTCTACCGATAGCCTAATGAAGAAAGCTTGGTAGCTAATCCCAGAACCATTGCATAGTGAGATATAAGTATGGGTCTTCATGTGTACAAACTGTTAACAAACTGTCCCTATATCATTACTTCCTCTCCACTAAATTTATTCTTGTCTTTATAAAGTTCTGAAGAAAAATCTCCTTCAGGAATTGTTAAGGAGAACCAGGTAGATCCAAATAATATGTTTATTCACCATTCATAGTACCAATTTAATCATTCAACAAGCATTTACTAATTACTCATTCACTATATAGTAGTCTTAGGACTCTCTTCTAAGATCTAGAGATGAAAAGTGCAGTAAGACACATTTCCTACTATTACAAGCTCCCAGTCTAGAGATATTTACACGTGATAAATTCAGATGGTTTCCATGCAGCAACTGGTGCTGTGATGGAGCAATGCACCAAGTGCTATGAGAACATGGACAGTGGCTGGGTGTGGTGGCTCACACCTGTAACCCTAGCACTTTGGGAGGCTGAGATGGGAAGATCACTTAAGCTCAGGAGTTCAAGACCAGCCTGGGCAACATAGTGAGATCTTGTCCCTACAAAAAAATTTAAAATTAGCCGAGTGTGGTAGCACATGCCTGTAGTCCCAGCTACTTGGATGTGGGAGGATCACTTGAGCCTGGGAGGTCAAGGCTGCAGTGAGCTACAATTGTACCACTGTACTCCAGCCTGGGCAACAGAGCAAGACCTCATCTCAAAAATAAATAAACAAACAAATAAATAAACAAACAAATAAAAGGAGAAGTCTCTGGAGAAAGTGATGCTTGGATTGAGTTTTGAAGCAGGAGTAGAAGTCAGCTAGATGAAGAAGAAGAGAAAAGTACTTGAACAACATTCATATTGACCTGGAGGCAGAAAAAGCACATCCACTTTGAGGAACCACAAGCTGTACATTAGGACTAAAGCAGAAGCAGGAGGTTGGAGAGGACACTAGAGAAGCAGGCAGGAGGTTAATGATGCAAGACCAGGCTCTGGGAATGTAGGCAGGAAGTATGGGCTTTATTCTGAAAGTGATGGGGAGCCAATGGAGAAGGCAAGCCCAAGAGCAAGAGGATCAGACTTGAGTTTCAGATCTCTCAGCTGGTGAATAAATTGGAGGGAGGCCAGACGTGGAGCAGGGAGATGAGTTTTGAGAAATTTCCAGAAATTCAGATGGTGAGAGTCTAAATCAAAGTGATGTCAGAGTATATCTAAGAGACGCAACGTTTCACCAGAGTGGGCAAGGAAGAACAGCACCCCCATGGAATAGTGACTAGACAGGGCACGTTCTTGTTGTTTGTTTTGTTTTGTTTTGTTTTTTGAGACAGAGTCTCCCTCTGTCGCCCAGGCTGGAGTGCAGTGCCCTGGTCTCGGCTCACTGCAACCTCTGCCTCCCGAGTTCAAGCCATCTTCCTGCCTCAGTCTCCTGAGTAGCTGGGACTACAGGCATGCGCCACCATGCCCAGCTAATTTTTTGTATTTTTAGTAGAGATGGGGTTTCACCATGTTGGCCAGGATGGTCTGGATCTCTTGACCTCGTGATCCACCCGCCTTGGCCTTCCAAAGTGCTGGGATTACGGGCGTGAGCCACTGCACCCAGCCCAGGGCACGTTCTTGTTTCTGTGTGCAGTGTGCCCCCCAACCTCCCACCCTTCCATGACTAGGAAGAGGAGGCATGGGCCAGGTGTGGTGCTGGGTGATTTCTACATGTCACCCAATATACTCAGTAACTGCAGTAACTGTCTGAACACATGGCATCAGCTTCATAGATCGGGAATCAGGGCTTCTGGAACTGCCCAACCCAGCAATGAACAGGCAGTGTTTTCTCCTTAATGCCCTAAGCATTTTTATTTTTTCGAGACAGAGTGTCGCTCTGTCGCCCAGGCATTTTTGAATCCGCTTCACTTGCATCTCTGCAAGCCCCTAGCTAACTCCCTACTTCACTGGTTAAATATAGCACCTCTTATCTTCTACTCACCTCATTGCCAGAAAGGTGGTACATCCTGGCTTCCTGGAGCAGCGGGAAGACCTCTGGGCACTGCCTGATGAGAGGATCTGCTTCCACCGTCTCCACAAAGTACCACGGGTCCAGAAGCGGTAAGCGCACGTTCTCGAGGACATAGGGGAGTAAGCAGAGTCGTTCTGATGGCTTGTGCCGGACCCAGCTCATCACGGTCTCAAACACCTGAGCCTCCTCGGTCACGTAAAGGTCATCACTCTTCAAGATGTGGTGAAGAGTGTCCACAGGCAGGTCAAGGAACTCCTCAGAGTTCAGAATCTGCACAAAGTTTTGAATGATGTAACTCTGAACCTGCTTCTTTAGACTGTCCAGTGAGTGTGTGTCGGCCAGCCTCAGTATTCCAACACAGTTTTCTGGGTTCAAGGCTTCAGTGAGGAAGCTGGCACAGGCATCCACCATCCGCAGGAACTGATGGAATAGAAAGGGCGGAAAGGAGGCCAGAAAATGTGAGTCCACAAGGAGGTTTATCAGTGAGTTGTGTGTAGTAGCCAAAAATTGGAAACAACCTAAATATCCAACAGTACAGGACTAGCTAAATACATATAATACAATCATACAGTTGACTTAAAGCAATGAGATACTTACGGGACTAGCTAAATACGTATAATACATTCATACAGTCGACTTAAAGCAGTGAGATACTTACAGGACTAGCTAAATACATATCACACATTCATACAGTCAACTTAAAGCAATGAGATACTTACGGGACTAGCTAAATACATATAACACAATCATACAGTCGACTTAGAGCAATGAGATACTTATGGGACCAGCTAAATACATATCATACAACCATACAGTCGACTTAGAGCAATGAGATAGTTATGGAACCAGCTAAACACGTATAATACATTCATACAGTCGACTTAGAGCAATGAGATACTTACGGGACTAGCTAAATAGATATCATACATTCATACAGTCGACTTAAAGCTCATACATTCATACAGTCGACTTAAAGCAATGAGATACTTACAGGACTAGTTAAATATATATAATACATTCATACAGTCGACTTAAAGCAATGAGATACTTATGGGACTAGTTAAATACGTATCACACATTCATATAGTCAACTTAAAGCAATGAGATACTTATAGGACTAGCTAAAATACATATAATACATTCATACAATTGACTTCAAGCAATGAGATACTTACGGGACTAGCTAAATACATATCATACATTCATACAGTCGACTTAAAGCAATGAGATACTTATGGGACTAACTAAATACATATCATACATTCATACAGTTGACAGCTCTATAGACACTTAAAATACTTAAAACACATGTTGTAGAAGAATATTAAATGAAATGGAAAATGTTTATAATGTATTGAGTTTTAAAATCTGTTTATTGGATCTGATTAAGCCTCTACATTTAATCAACAATTTACGGGAAATACAGGGGAAAGAGGAACCTGCTAAAGACGCCATGGGAACATGATCAGCAAAATCCAGACTGTGGAAAACTCTACAGAACAACTTGTTCAGTTTTTTCAACAAATACATTACAAGGGGATAAAAGAGAGAGAGAAGGAGAGGGAGAATCTAAAGATAAACAGAGATTTAAGATACATCAACCAACTGCAAAGTATAGATCTTATTTGGATTCCTGATTTAAACAATATATATTTTTTGCCGGGCGCGGTGGCTCAAGCCTGTAATCCCAGCACTTTGGGAGGCCGAGGCGGGCGGATCACAAGGTCAGGAGATCGAGACCACGGTGAAACCCCGTCTCTACTAAAATTACAAAACAAAAAATTAGCCGGGCGGTTGTGGGCGCCTGTAGTCCCAGCTATTCGGGAGGCTGAGCCAGGAGAATGGCGGGAACCCGGGAGGCGGAGCTTGCAGTGAGCCGAGATCGCGCCACTGCACTCCAGCCTGGGCGACAGAGCGAGACTCCGTCTCAAAAAAAAATATATATATATATATATTTTTTTTTAAGTTGGAGAAATGGTTACAATGACTAATATTTGTTGATAATGAAACAATTATTATTCATTTTAAGTGCAATAACGGTTTCATGTTTATGTTTAAGAAGAATCCTTATTTTTTAGAGCTATAACTGAAATATTTGCAGATAAAATGAGAAAAGCATGTCACAAATCGTATGTACATTATGACCTTATTTTTATAAAGAAAATACACACAGAATAAAGTCACAGAAAAAAGATGAAAGCATGTAGGTCAAAATATTAATGGTTGTTATCTCTTTGGGTTATCAGGTATCTTAAGGCAAATTACGCTGCAGTAGCAAACAATCCCCACGTCTCAGGGGCTTACAGCAGTAAACGTTTCTCTCTCCCCCACCGTACATGTTCTTCACAGGGCTCTTCATTCCAGGGGCCAGGAAGATGGAAAGCCCTTACCTGAGATGTTCAGGTCCCAAGACAGAAGGGGAAAAAAGATGGCAGAACCACACAGAGGTTTTTAAAGCTTCTGCTCAGAGGGGGCGCATGCTGTATTCAATTACGCAAACCCGTTCAGAGTAAGTCACATGCCAAAATTTGTCATCAAGGGGACCACAGTTCTCCCACAGAAACAGGTCTCATGGGAATATACTATATAAATAATATAGTATATTCTATATATACTATATTAGATTCTATATATAGTATAGAATATACTATATAAATAATAGAAGATATGACACTCTAATAAGACTATGAGAATTTTTCTGTTTTTGTTTATTCATACGTTTCATGCATTTATATATCCCTTAAAATGAATACGTACCACTTTTGTCATTAAAAATTAATTTGTAAAATTATTGATCGGCTCTCAGGTCCCACTTTTAAGTTATCACTGTCCTCGTAAAAATTCAAGTCCCTTATGCTTGTAGGGCACTTTACAGATGACAAAGCACTGTTAAATCCATTATATTTTGTAATATCCATTTTACAGATGACATGTCTCAAGTGCATTGGTTCATTCTTATTTGTTGTTCTCTGGAGCTTAGCTTTGAACAAGTTCAACCTCCTAGCTCCCTTCCCTGTCTACTGGACTCCTTATAGGGTCAAGTTCTCGGTGCACATGGGTTGATCGATTAATGGAAGGAGAGGAAAGGGGAGGCTGAGGGGGCAGGAGCTGGTGGGAAAGGCCTTCTGAAGGCAGGTCCTGGTGATAGTAGGGATGAGACAGACCTGACTGCGGAGGGATGGCAGGAGCTGGGGGTAGCGGGGCTATGGGGCCTGAAGGCTGATGGTGGGGTAGGACTGGTTCTAAGAGTGGACCAAGGAGACCTAGGCTCTGGACTTTACTCCAGAGCATTCCCTGGACTTTTTGGATCAACCTCTATGGCAAAATATTATCTTTCTGTGTCAGATCACATAGGATTGTCAGTTTAAAAAGCATTTTTTTTTGCCGGGCGCAGTGGCTCACGCCTGTAATCCCAACACTTTGGGAGGCCGAGGCGGGCGGATCACAAGGTCAGGAGATCGAGACCACGGTGAAACCCCGTCTCTACTAAAAAATACAAAAAATTAGCCGGGTGCTGTGGCGGGCGCCTATAGTCCCAGCTACTCAGGAGGCTGAGGCAGGAGAATGGCGTGAACCCGGGAGGCGGAGCTTGCAGTGAGCCAAGATCACGCCACTGCACTCCAGCCTCGGGGACAGAGCGAGACTCCGTCTCAACAAAAAATAAATAAATAAATAAAATAAAAAGCATTTTTTTAGGCTGGGCGCAGTGGCTCACGCCTGTAATCCCAGCACTTTGGGAGGCCGAGGCACGCACATCATCTGAGATTGGGAGTTTGAGACCAGCCTGACCAACATGGAGAAACCTCGTCTCTACGAAAAACACAAAATTAGCCAGGCGTGGTGGCGCATGCCTGTAATCCCAGCTACTCAGGAGGCAGCGGCAGGAGAATCATTTGAATCTGGGAGACAGAGGTTGCGGTGAGCTGGTATCATGCCATTGCACTCCAGCCCGGGCAACAAGAGCGAAACTCCATCTCAAAATAAATAAATAAATAAATAAAGCATTTCTTCAAGGGTCAATGTTGAAGGGACCAGCGACTCCACACCTGTGGGTATTTCTCGTCAGGTGGGATGAGAGACTGAGAAAAGAAGTAAGACACAGAGACAAAGTATGGAGAAAGAACAGTGGGCCCAGGGTACCGGCGTTCAGCATACGGAGGACCCGCACTGGCACCAGTCTCTGAGTTCCCTCAGTATTTATTGATTACTATTTTCACTATCTCAGCAAGGGGAATGTGGCAGGAGAGCAGGGTGATAGTGGGGAGAAGGTTAGCAAGAAAACATGTGAGCAAAGGAATCTGTCACAAATAAGTTCAAGGGGAGGTACTATGCCTGGATGTGCACGTAAGCCAGATTTTTGCTTCTCTCCACCCAAACATCTCAGTGGAGTAAAGAATAACAAAGCAGCATTGCTGCCAACGTGTCTCGCCTCCCGCCACAGGGCGGTTTTTCTCCTATCTCAGAATTGAACAAATGTACAATCGGGTTTTATACCGAGACATTCAGTTCCCAGGGGCAGGCAGGAGACAGTGGCCTTCCTCTATCTCAACTGCAAGAGGCTTTCCTCTTTTACTAATCCTCCTCAGCACAGACCCTTCACGGGTGTCAGGCTGGGGGACAGTCAGGTCTTTCCCATCCCACGAGGCCATATTTAAGACTATCACATGGGGAGAAACCTTGGACAATACCCGGCTTTCCAGGGCAGAGGTCCCTGCAGCTTTCCGCCGTGCATTGTGCCCCTGGTTTATCGAGACTAGAGAACGGCGATGACTTTCACCAAGCATACTGCCTGTAAACATTTTGTTAACAAGGCACATCCTGCACAGCCCTAGGTCCCTTAAACCTTGATTCCATACAACACATGTTTTTATGAGCTCAAGTTTGGGGCGAAGAGGTTGGGGCAAAGTTACAGATTAACAGCATCTCAGGGCAAAGCAATTGTTCAAGGTACAAGTCAAAATGGCATTTCTTATGTCTTCCCTTTCTACATAGACACAGTAACAGTCTGATCTCTTTCTTTTCCCTACACAATGCAAAGTTGGAGAAGGCCTGAATTCTGCCTGAGAACCCCATGTCTGCTGGTCTCCACTGCCGGCAGCTCTGCTCTTTGCATGAGCAACCATGGAAACAGTTGAGAATGAGGCTGCTAACACCTGTTTAGTTGTTGGCAGATTTTCAGTTCAAAGACTAAAAATATGCAACAAAGACCAAGCCTTGTGAGCCCTCAGAACTGGACACCAGAACCCTATCTGGCCCTGTTCACAGAGACATCTATGAGAGCTGAAAGGAGACTCACTTAAATGGTAGCCTCCAGTGCAAAATACCGCGTTCACTGTGCCAGCGTTTGAGTGAGGGGGAGAGGAAAATTAAGTAGCTATTTCTAGGTACTTAGACTATCTCTGGGAAGTCACATAAGACCT